TAAAGGGGGGTCTGTCCATCCCCGAAGCTCGGATCCCTGCGGGGTTCACACGGGAGGCTTTCCGCAGTCCACGCGGGGATGCGGACACCGCCCGTGCGCGTCCCGGGGGGCGGCCTGATCGGCAGTGTGGAGCCTGTTGGTGTCACCACGGGGCCGCCCTGGGCTCGGGAGCTTCAGGGGTTGTCGCGAAGCGTTACCAGGACATCTCCTCCTCCTCCTCCTCCTCCTCCTCCTCCTCCTCCTCCTCCTCCTCCTCCAGGACCACGGCGCGGGGCAGGAAAGCAGAGCTGACGACGCAGCGGCGTGCCAGTTGCTCTCCTGCGGCCTCCTTGGGGCATTCCCGGGCCACCTCGGGGCCGTCCTCGGCAGTCTTGGGCTCATGAGGCATAGAGCGTCCGTAGCCACTCTGGACGAAGTCCGCTTGGCTCTGCAGGAGAGTCCCGCCATCCGTTTCCAGCGACTCCTCCATTCCGCCTGGGCCCGCCGGCCCGCCGGTGGCCGCCCGGAGGGAACCAGTGGCAGATCCTCCCGGGGCCCGGACCAGGGGCAGGTCCATGAGGTTCTCCCCGCCCTCGGCGAGCGCTCGCCGCAGTGAGAGGGAGCACCTCCATGCGGAACTTTTGCACGCCGTCTCCTGCAGAAGTTCCATATTTCACTTGAGTTTGGCGAAGCCCCGCACCAAGTGGCCTTCTTAGAGGGCCTGCGCGCCCTTGCAGGGGTGCCAGTTTCCTGGCTGCGGCGGCTTCGTTCGTTCGTTCGCATGCGCATCTAGATGGAGCTTGGGACAGGAGGGAGTAGTTCAGCATGCGTCGCGAGGCGTGCTTCGGACGGGGCTAGGACAGGGATAAATCCGTTCCAGAGCACTTCGGAACGCCCTCGGAGCGTCCCGGGATGCTCTGAGAAGGCCGCGGCGCCCGAGACATCCACCAGAGCCGCCGGGTTCTCAGAGATTTCCGATTTAGCCTCACCCGATGCTCTCCTCGTCCTGGCTTCGTCTCAGTGCTCGGCTTCCTCTGGCCCTCCTCCTCCTCCTCCTCCTCCTCCTCCTCCTCCTCCTCCTCCTCGTCCTGGCTTCGTTTTAGTGCTCGGCTTCCTCTGTGGGAAAAACACACACTGTGGGAAAAAACACACTAAACTCTCAAAAAAACACACAACACACACAGTGTGTGTTTTTTCTCACAGACTGTGTTTTTTTGTGTGTTTTTCCCCCCTCCTCCTCCTCCGCTCCTCGGCCTCGCCCGGGGCGGGCCGCCGTCCGGGCGCCGCGGCGCGAGGCCCGGGGCCTTCCAAAAACGCAATGGCCGTGCCAGAGGGCCAGAGGGCTCAGGAGGGAAAGAAACACACAGACACAATTCATCGTCGATCCCCAGGAAAATATGGGAAAATCTGGGAAGTGGGGGGGAAGACACCCCCCCCCAAAAAAATATATGTGAAAATATGGGCATCATTTTATTTGTGTGTATTTATTTGCGTGCCCCAGGGCCCCTTCAAAAACGCAAGGCTGTGCCAGAGGGCCAGAATGGCGCGGTTTCCGATGCGAAGTGCGGGCGCCAGGCTTCGGTCGGGCACGTTAAAACGACGCGAAGATCGGGACAAAATCGGATCGGGATAACTCGAAATCTCTGAGAATCGGCGGGTTTGGAGGATGTATTGGGCGCCGCGGCCGCTCCAGAGCGTTCCGGAACGCTCTGAGAGCGCTCTGGAACGCTTTGGAGCGATTTATCTCGATCCTAGCCCTGTTTTACACGTCCCCCCGCAGGCCGATTCTGGACGAAGAATAAGAGATAGTCAAGACGTATGCCCCAAGTGGTCAAAGATGATCCAAACCAGTCCCCTGACTGTTTTTGGATCATTCTTGGCTATTCCTCCCGTAGAGAGAAGCCGAGCTCTGATTCCTCGGCCCGGCGGCTGGATTGGAGAAGCGACCCGAGCAAGTCTCGGGTGCGGCCAAGGGGGAGTGACGACTTAGGGGGGGCGGATCTCATGGCGAGGGCCACGACGTCTCCCTGGATTCCCAGACCTCCTCGCGTCGTGAAAAAATCACGACGGGAGGTTTTTCGCTATTTTCGGCCTCCGGGGGCCCTCACCGGGCCTCGGGAGCGTCAAAAAACGACTCAGGATGCAAAGCCGGTCGTGGGGAAAGGGTCCAGACCTCTGGGGGCCGACGTAATGAAAAAATCATGACGTCGGGGGTCTGGGTTTCTAGGCCCCCTTTTCCTCTTCCAGCACGCTCCTCGGCCCTCCCCAGGTGTGCGCACATGCCTCGGGGTATGATTTTGCGATCCTCCCCTCCTGGACGCCCCTCTCGTGGGCGCCCCCGAAGCTTGGATCGTCTTCCTCCCGCCCGCCTGTCCAGGACACAGGGAGTTCGGCAGCAAATCATGGGAGCCTGGAGTGCCCTCTCAATCCCGTCTCTACTAGTCGATTGGCGTCGATTGGCGTCTGGGAGTCGATGAGGCAGCGCCGATTTAGCGCCGATTCAGCGTCGATGGGGCGTCGATTTTGGCGCCGACGAGGGTCGATTCGCAGGAGCCGACAAGATGGTACGGGAGGCCCCCGTGAGTTGCCACCGTGAAGGGGCCCTGGGACACACAAATAAACACACACAAATAACCGGATTCCCCACATTTTCGCATATGTTCTGGGTTTCTGTCTCCCCCCCCCCACTTCCCATATTTTCCTATATTTTCTTGGGAATCGACGATTCATTTTGTGTCTGTGTGGTTTTCAGGAGGGAAAGAAACACACAGACACAATTAATCGTCGAGTCCCAGGAAAATATGGGAGAATATGGGAACTGGGCGGGAAGACCAAAACCCAGAACATATGGGAAAATAGGGGGAATCCTTTTATTTGTGTGCATTTATTTTTGTGTCCCAGGGCCCCTTCAGTTTTTTCTCTTCCTGCCACTGCACGCCCGCCTGTCCACACAAATAACCGGATTCCCCATACTTTCGCATATTTTCTGGGTTTTTGTTTCCCCCCCCCACTTCCCATATTTTCCTATATTTTTTCCTGGGAGTCGACGATTCATTTTATGTCTGTGTGTGTTCTTCTCTCCCTGCCACGGCACGCCCGCCTGTCCAGGGGACGGGCGGGAGGCGGCCTCGGCCACCGCGGGCCCCGGAGGCGCCCGCCGGGGCGGCTGCTCGCCGCGGGTGCCGCGGCGGGCCCTGACCCTCCAGAGAGCTTTTTTGTTGTTTTTCGCACTGGAGGCTAAAAAACCTAAAAAGGCTGAGCGAAGCAGCCCAAAACCAAGACGCAGAATAGCTTTTGGATAGGTTTTTAAGTCGGGTGCTATTTTTGAGCCCTCCTGGAAGCACTGGAGGCTAAAAAACCTCAAAAGCTGAGCGAAGCAGCCCTCCTGGAGCTATTTTTTTAGCACTGGAGGCTAAAAAACCTCAAAAGCTGAGCGAAGCAGCCCAAAGCCAAGACGTAGAACAGCTCTTGGATAGGCTTTCAAGTCGGGTGCTATTTTTGAGCCCTCCTGGAAGGTCAGGAGAGCCCTGCCGCCGACGGGCTGTTTCGGCCCGGCGCAGCGGGGTTGTCGTTTGGCGCCGGGGGCTCCAGGCCTCCCAGATTCGGGGGCGGACAGACCTCCGACTTTGACACGTCGATTCGCGAATTGGCCGTTCTCGGTCCGCGAGGGGGCGTCGCGGCCGTCATTTTTGCGGGTCCAGGTCCGTCGGTTTCGGTCCCAGGCCGTTTTCACTAAGGGGAGGTTTACTAAAGGGAGGTTTGTCCACCCCCGACAGATGGGGTTAGAGTCGAGCTGGGCATGCCCCTCTACAGGAGGAAGATTCCATGATATGCGTCAAACAAGCAGGCAGGTGGCGATTATTCGGGCTCCTTGGACGGTTTGTTTTTTTGTTCTGATAGCTATCGTTATATATATATATATATATATATATATACACAAAGTCCGCCTGTAGGAGGACATGCCCGAACCAAGGTTAGAGTAATAGATATGTGGCCAGAAGGTGGCAGAGCGATCGAATCGAACCTTCAGGCGATTTCGTTGCCAGGACAGAAAAAATAGATATGTGGCCAGAACATCGCGCCGCACGTCGCCGACGCATCGCCGGTGCACCAGCGATGCGGCGCGGCCCTCCGACCCCATCTGCTCGGACGGCATTGGGGAGGCCTCGAGGGGCGCGGCGTCGAGGTGCCTCTCGGTCAACTGCCGGGCTCACAGCTGGCAAGGAAGGGCAGTGACGTGGCGGCCCGTGCGTGCTTCGCCGCAGGTCAGGCTGCGGGCGAGGGCCTCTTCGGGCATACCTATTGGGTACTCAGGGTATCTCGGTGTCCCGTGGCACTGCACGTTCCTGGCTCTTCGCGCACGGAGGTTTCTCCGAAGGGCTCAGGCGACCCGTCCTCCTCCTCCTCCTCCTCCTCCTCCTCCTCCTCCTCCTCCTCCTCCTCCTCCTCCTCCTCCCCCTCCTCCCCCTCCTTCCCCTCCCCCTCCTCCTCCTCCCCCTCCTCCTCCTCGTCCTCCTCCTCCTCCTCCTCCTCCTCCTCCTCCTCTTCCTCGAGTCGCCCACGGCCCTGGGGGAAACCGTGCATTCGCGCAACCCTACCAGCCCACCCAGAAGTGGTTTCCAGGCGGGTCGCCTGGAGCAGGCAGGGAGGTGTGCAGAATCATGCAGCACACCGCAGCGGGAGCTGTCCCAGCAGACCCAAGAGTCAATCATGACTGTCGTTTAAGAGCTTGTGTATGATGGTCAGCCCGAAGCTGGAGTCAGCCCGGGCAGCTGCCAATAACATGGGGCCTCCTGAGTTTTTTTTCTGCTATCTCTGGGCTCTCTTCGGGAGATTTTGGAAGCATTCGGGGCTCTCTTGGCGCCCTCCTCGGGACCTTCTCGTCCTCTCCTTCCCCCTCCCCCATTTCCTTTAGATTCCTCCATCATCTCCTCCCTCCTCTCACTTGCCCCCCCCGCACTGTTGCATTTTGTCGCTGTGGATGTTCCGTGCAGAGGGGGATGGGCACAGCGACAGCGGAGGCAGAACGCATCGTGGCCGTGAGCTTGATCAACCAGCTCGCTTGCATAAAGGGAGGGTGGGGAAGACAAGAAGATAGATGGAGAAGTTCGGAGGGTGGTGTTGGTGATGCTGCTGGTGATGAGGATAATGTGGAGGAGGAACAGGAGGTGGAGGAGTAAGAGGAGGATGGCGAGGAGGACCAGCAAAAGGAGAAGGATGAGGAAGAGCGGGCATTTCAAGAGGTAGAGAAGGAGGGGGAGGAGGAGGAGGAGGATGACGATGAGGACGAGGAGGATGAGGAGGAGAGGGAGGGGAAATATAGAGAAGGATAAGGATGACAAGCTAATGATGGTGTTGATCGTGTTAACTGTTGGTCATTATGGTTGATGCTGGTTGGTGGTTGATGGTGTCTGATGGTTACTATGACGACCATGATCATACTATGATGGTGACGACGGTGATAATGATGGTGACGATGACGATGGTGATGCTGACGTTGGTGATGGTGATTGTGATGTCGACGACGATTAATGACGGTGATGGTGGCACTCATAATAATATTGATGATGTTGATGTTGATGATGAGTACGATGATGCTGATGCTGATGCTGATGACGATATCGATGCTGCTGATAATGATGCTGCTGATCATGCGGCTGCTGATGATGTTGATGACGATGCTGATGCTGATTATGATGACGATGCTGATGACCATGATGGCGTTGACGATGATGATGGTGATGCTGAGGACGCAGATTATGATGACGACGGTGATGACGACGACGATGATGATGATACTGTTGTTGCTGCTGCTGATGCTAACGATGCTGATGCTGATGATGGTGATGTTGATGATGCTGATGATGGTGGTGATGCTGATGCTGATGCTGATGCTGATGCTGCTGACGATGACTATGCCGGTGATGGTGCTTTTGATGAAGTTGATGATGATGAGGCGGGTGCTGATGGTGCTCGTGATGATGCTGCTGATGCTGCTGATGCTGGTGATGATGATGCTGATCATGGTGATGATGATGGTGCTGATGCTGATGATGACGACGATGGTGACGATGATTATGATGATGATGCTGATGCTGATGATGCTGATGCTGATGATGCTGCTGATGACGATGATGGTGATGGTGATGATGATGATGATGATGCTGCTGCTGATGATGATGATGATGATGATTCAGGTGTTGTTGTTGTTGATGATGATGATGATGACCATGACGATTAATCCAGTCAGCTTGCATAGTAACGGTGAACAACTTTCAACATTTACCTTTGCATCCCTGTCCCTTCGGCCCATCCTTGGCAACTTTCGCTGGTCAGCCCCGTTCGAAGACAAGCCACCATGGCCTTCCAAGGCCCTTGCATTCGTACCGCGCATCCTTATGCGACCCGACTGTATGGTGATGATTATGCTGCTGCAGTGATGATCATGATGATAGTGGTAATTCCAATGATAATGATAATGATGATGATGATGATGATGATGATGATGATGATGATGATGATGATGATGATGATGATGAGGAGGAGGAGGAGGAGGAGGAGGAGGAGGAGGAGGATGAGGATGATGCTGCTGCTGCTGCTGATGCTGATGCTGATGCTGATGCTGGTGATGCTGATGCTGATGATGCTGATGCTGATGCTGATGAGGATGATGCTGATGCTGATGCTGATGCTGATGATGCTGATGCTGATGATGCTGATGCTGATGCTGATGAGGATGATGCTGATGCTGATGCTGATGCTGATGACGATGATGATGTTGATGCTCATGCTGCTGCTTCTGATGATAATGATGATGAGGATCATGATGCTGATGATGGTGATGATGATGACGACGCTGATGCGGATGATTATGCGGATGATGATGGGTATGGTGATGACGAGTATGGTGATGCTGCCTATTCCAGCGTTGCATTTCACATGCCCGTGCGGCAGGTGATGAAACAGTTCCTCGTCGTCGTCGAGGAGCCTGGGCCAACGTAGGGGCTTCGTTGACCAAGATCCTCGTGGTGGGTTTGCCGAAATGCTCCCAGGCCGCCATGCGAACCTTGCCACCGGCGCCGTCGCTGGAGCTCCTATGGGGCCACGATCCTCGTGAGGGGTGTGGCGAAATGGCCCGAGGGCGCTATGCGAACCTTGCCACCGGCGCCGTCGCTGGAGCTCCTATGGGGCCACGATCCTCGTGAGGGGTGTGGCGAAATGGCCCGAGGGCGCTATGCGAACCTTGCCACCGGCGCCGTCGCTGGAGCTCCTATGGGGCCACGCTCCTCGTGAGGGGTGTGCCGACGTGGCCCGAGGCCGCTGTGCGAACCCTGCCACTGGCGCCTTCGGTGCAGCTCCCTGCGTGGCCAGGCCTCGGCACCCGCCATGCGTGAGCCCCTCGAAGTCATTCAGGAGCCCGGGCTCGCCCAGCTGGTCCTCCTCCTCCTCCTCCTCCTTCTCCTCCTCCTCCTCCTCCTCCTCCTCATCTTCCTCCTCCTCCTCCTCCTCCTCCTTGATTCTCCTGCTCCTCCTCCTCCTCCTCCTCCTCCTCCTCCTCCTCGATCCTCCTTCTCCTCCCCCTCCTTCTTCTCCCCCTCCTCGACGCAACGCCACGCCGACAAGAGCCTGGAGCGGTGCACGCACGCCCCGCCGCCAGCCCGCGCAGGAGGGAGACCAGGGTCCGTGGGCCAACCGCAGACACTGCGCTTGCGAGCAAGGAAGTCGCAACGGCGGCAGGGCACACTCGAGCTGGTGGCGGTGGTGGTGGTGATAATGACGATTGGAGGGTGATGATCAGGATCTGGTGAGCACCCGTGTCAACTATGACAGTGTGGGGTGTTTGTTCAGTTCCTTGGGCAACTCTGTCGACCTCCGAGCAGCCGGACGGGTGTCCATCCCTACCTTCGTTTTTCCTCCGCCCCCCCCTCGGCGGCACTCACTTTGAAGTGGTCTTGTCGCAAACGCCAAAGCGACGGGGTAGTAGGGCCCCGCTTATGTTGCGTTGCCAACCGCCGGCGTTGAAAACATCGGAATCCCCTCCATGGCGTTAAACGCCCGCGCGATCTGTCTTTACGTATCGTTTCGTGGATTGTGGTTTCTCGTTGTCCCGTCCGATTCACACGTGTATTGCGCGTACATGATTTATACTATGCGTGGTTGCTGGGCGCATAGCTTTTTTTAGGCCTCAATCGCTGCTTCCTAGATTATGCCCAGACGTTTAGGGGACCTTGGCTTTTGGGGAAGTACCTCCTCGACCTGCTCTGATCGTGTGGGTCTTACCTTGACGCGTCATGTAATTGCACTGGCGGACGCTGTGCGTACGCCGCCGTGTTTTAGGCACGTGTGCTGCCGCTGCGAACCACGTGTGGCGCCTTTTGCGCGTCCCGCGGAAGGGGGCCAGCACCTCGGCAATTCCACTTTGGCTTGTGCCCCTGCTAGGTGTGTATGATGTTGTCCGCATCCGCGTGGCATCACCCTCCCCCACCCCTCTCGCGCGCACATCGCGCGCGCACGAACGCGCAACAGGAGTGGGAGAACGGGGGAGAAAAGAGGAGGAACAGAGGAGGAGGAAGGGAGGGAGGGAGGGAGGGAGGGAAGGGAAGGTGGGAACAATATGAAAGAGGAGGAGCGAGGAGGAGGGGAGGAGGAGGAGGAGAGGAGGAGGAGGATGAGGAGGCGGAGGAGGAGGAGGGTAAGCACGAGGAGGAGGCGGAGGAGGAGGAGGAGGAGGAGGAGGAGGACGAGGAGGAGGGTAAGGAACAAGATGAGGAGGAGGAGGAGGCGGAGTAGGAGGAGGAGGCGGAGGACGAGGATGAGGAGGGGCAGGAGGAGGAGGAGGAGGAGGAGGAGGGTGAGGAAGAGGACGAGGATGATGATGATGATGATGAGGAGGAGGAGGAGGAGGAGGAGGAGGAGGAGGAGGAGGAGGAGGAGGATAGAGCACGAAAAGGTTTGGGAGGAGGGGGAAGAGGGGGAGGAGGGGCAGGAGGAGGAGGAGGAGAATGAGGAGGAGGAGGAGGAACAGGAGGAGGAGGAGAAGGAGGAGGATGATGATGAGGAGGAGGACGTGCTTTGTTGACATGCACCGCTGTCATACACCTCCACCAAGTCTGCGTTAAGTCAGGCTGAGGCGCGAGGAGCTCCCATTCCAGAGTCGCGCAAACACGAATGCCTGGAAACGAACGGGCAACAGTCGGCGGCGGTGCCACATGGCGTCGGTTCGCGAAGGAAGACCATGAGCCCCACCAGAGCACCGCCCCCTCTCCAAGCTCACTGGCACAGCGCAGCCATCGTGCTCGGCAAAAGCGCCGCCCGAGACCGCTTCGGGTGCGGCCATTCAGCGTTCTCGTCCAGGAATCGGGTGTCCTGGGCAAGCGATTCTTGTTTGTCGGAGGGCCAGCACAGAGGCCCGCGAGATTCGCACGATGCTGGCCAAAGGTGAACAAATGCGCACCTGGAAGAACAGATAACACATTCACCACCCAGCACCGATGCCCGAGTGTCCGAAGCGCGGCCGCCCTGACGCGAGAGTGGCGAGAACAATCACCTGGAGGCGGCTTCTGCCGCAGAGCGCCTCGCTCGAAGACAACGGGTACACTGCCAGACGGGTCCGGCCCGCACCCGCTCGTGGCCCATTCGGGCCTCAGAGGCAAGGCGCGGCGGGACGAAACGGGGCACCCCCTCGGGCTCAAGGCGACGCCAGAGCGGGAGGAGGTGAGCAGACAGCTTGACCATAAATTTGGCAACCGCCACAGACTTCAGCACAGCCTCGTGAAGCTCGGGCGAGGCAGCGGGATGCTGGAGAGACCTCGTTTGGCCGCCAAGTCGGCAGCACGGTTGCCCAAGGGCCAATGAGAAAGTCAATGAGGCGGAACTTCTACCTGCATGTCCTCATGAGTTTTGGCCTTGGTCAAGGAGGCGATGCGGTCGGCATGCGGCAAGTCTTGCACCACCATTCCACCATAGACGAGTTTATTCCTAATCTGATGGTGGTACCCAGGAGCGTGATACTGCTTGTGCGCATTCGAGCAGTCAG